TTCTGACCTCAGGTGATCCACCTGCCTTGGTCTCCCAAAGTGTTGAGATGACAGGCATGAGCCACTGTGCCCAGCTGATTTATTTTCCTTTGATGTATACTACCCAGTAATAGGATCGCTGGGTTAAATGGTAGTTCTATTTTTAGTTCTTTGAGAAATCTCTAAACTGCTTTTCACAGGGGATAAACTAATTTACATTCTTACCAACAGCGAATAAATGTACCCTTTTCTCTGCAACCCTGACAACATCTGTTGTTTTTTGACTTTTAATTATAGCCATTCTGACTGGTATGAGATGAGATCTCATTGTGATTTTGATTTGTGTTTCTTTAATGATGAGTGATGTTGAGCATCTTTTCATGTTTGTTGGCTGCTTATATGTCTTCTTTTAGGAAGTGTCTGTTCTTGTTCTCTGCTCATTTTTAATGGGGTTATTTGTTTTATTCTTGTTGATTGGTGTAAATTCCTTATTGATTCTGGATATTAGTCCTTTCTTGGATGCATAGTTTGCAAATATTTCCTCCCATTCTCTAGGCTGTCTGTTTACTCTGTTGATAGTTTCTTTTGCTGTGCAGAAGCTCTGTAGTTTAATTAGGTCCCAATTGTTATATTTTGGTTTTGTTGCATTTGCTTTTGAACACTGGGTCATAAATTATTTGCCTAGACTGATGTTCATAAGTATATTTCCTAGGATTTCTTCCAGAATTTTTATAGTTTGAAGTTTTACACTTAAGTCTTTAATTCATTTTGTGTTAATTTTTGTATATGGTGAAAGGTAGGGGTCCAGTTTCATTATTCTGCATATGGTTAGCCAGTTTTCCCAGCACCATTTATTGAATGGGGGCCCTTTCCCCATTGTTTGTTTTTGAGAGACATGAATTTTAAACCACGTACAACAGTGTCTGTGATACAGTCAGTCCCTACTATGTGTTAGCTATTATAAAAACTCAAGGCTTCTGAAATTTGTCCTGTTTACTGTATTGATGAAAGCTTTCTTTATTCAGGTCCTAATATCATAATTATTGATGTTGCTTCTGAACATACCTTACTTTGTATTAAAGAGACCATGAAACATGTAAATAACTATTTTTCTCTGCTATAAGAATACGGAATTTGGTTATCATTTCTAGCAAGTGCACTTATCTTCACAGCATGTGTTTTTTATTCTCACAGCTATCTATTTGGAGAGAGTGTTGATACTGTGGCCTCTGGACTCAGCTTGCTTGCCTGCGTGTGACTCCTGGCTGCACCACTTGCTTATGTGAACTGGAGCACTTTACTGGCTTCTCTGTGCCTTTTGTGAAGTGGGAATCACAAAAGTATCTTCCTTCCTAGAGTTTCTTTTTTATAGGATTTAATGAGTGAAGCCATTTGAAGTATTGACAGCCCTCACTGGCATAGACAGTAAAGACTCCATAAAAGTTCACTGTCATTATCATTTTGATTTTTTCTTATCTTTTAAAACTTTAATTTTCTATTTTCTCTGATTATTTTATTTTTTTCTGGGTATTTTAATCAATTAGATCGAGAGAGAGAGAGAGAGTATGTCTGTGTGTGTGTGTATGGTTACAGAACAGAAATGAGTTCTGACTAATTTCAGCATAAAGAAACTTTACTGGAAAGTTACTGGAGCAGCTTACCAAATGGAATGAACAGTGGAAGAATGACCAATGTCAGAAAGAGTAGATGAAGGACCACATCAGCTGCAGTGATGCAGGTGGCAAATGCTATCACCCATCTTGTTAGAGCGCTACAGTAGTGCCCATTTTCTGTCTTTATGATAAGCCACTCAAGCTTCAGTGGTTTGCAGAAGGGATCTGATTCACCTGGTGGAGAGACTGAGCCCCGTCTTTCTTAGAGGCCAGGCAATCATTTTGAGTAGTATTGTTATCAAAGCTGTTCACAGTGAACTTGCAGTCATTCCCCAAAACACACTCTGGATTTGTTATTTGGAAAAAGGACAAGTGGAGACTTAAGTGCCCCAAACCAATAAATATTTACTACAATCAGTATATTTTGTTAACTATCCTAACTATTTTCCAACAAAAATAAAGCCATCAACAAGGTCACCAGTACTTAATTATAAAAAGTATACTGGTATAAAACTCAGGAGATCTGGGCTCTAGACACAGCCCTTTTTGACTAACATCACAACTTTTTAGGTCCTGATTTTCTTACTACTAAGGCGATAGTATAAGAATTAGAAGGCCCGTAAGGATTGTTCTAACAGTAAAACTTTAAGGTTCTCTGGTTGTCTTTGTTATGTGGAAACCTATATTGTTTTTATACACACACACGCGCACACACACACACACCCATGAATATGCTCCAGATAGTCCAGTCTTCACACTCAAGTGATGCATGGGAATTTATATGTAAACAAAAGTTTAAACAGTTAAGGTAGACTCAATACCTTAATTAGTAACTTTTTTTTTTAGATGGAGTCTTGCTGTGTTGCGCAGGCTGGAGTGCAGTGTTGCAATCTCGGTTCACTGCAAGCTCCTCCTCCTGGGTTCATGCCATTCTTCTGCCACAGCCTCCTGAGTAGCTGGGACTACAGGCGCCTGCCACCATGCCCAGCTAACTTTTTTTTTTTTTTTGTATTTTTAGTAGAGACGGGGTTTCACCGTGTTGGCCAGGATGGTCTCAATCTCCTGAACTCATGATCTGCCCTCCTCAGCCTCCCAAAGTGCTGGGATTATAGCCGTCAGCCACCGCGCCCAGCCCTAATTCAAGGTTTTAAACTCATATAGACAGAATTTCTAAGGAAACCTTGTGAATTTCTAGGAATAAATCAAGGAATTGTGATAAGTACATATTATTTTGTCCTCATCGTTCAAAGGTCATACTTAGAGATTTTAGAAAATTAGAGATGTATGGAGAATAGTAATTAGGTCATCAGAATTCAGCAATCAAACGTGTCTCAACTATGTTTCCCTTTTAAAAAAGTAACCTTTATAGAAATATTTATTACAGGAATGATTAATTAGCTTTCCATTACTTTAAGAAGAAATCAGAATAATAATTCCTAGAAGAAAGAGGAGAAGGAAAAGGATTATGACAGTCAGTACTCAATGAGTGTGCCAGGCACTGTTCTTACTCCTTTACGTAAATGAACTCATTTCTACCTTGTACATTTCTATGACATGCAAACTCTTGGTATTCCCATTTTATAGATGAGGAAATTGAGGCACACAGAGGTTATATGACTTGTGCAAGGTTACCGCTAATAAAAGTCAGAATGGGATTTGATCCAGTCTTGTTCCATAGTCTATGCTCTAAACCACTATGCTGTATTCTCTGTATAAGCAGATAAAATAAGATAAAATTTATATAATTTAACTTCACTGTCAGCTGTTTTCAATGCTACACGAGTTTTTTTTTTTAAGTTTTGTTATTACTGGTTATTTTTTAGCTGCTTGCTCACCAGATATACCTGGTTGAAATTTCCCATGGATTCAGTTGAAGGAGATTGATACATTTATAAACCTATAAGAAAAAGAAATTATTAACTGTTGCAAGTTGGACTTAATTAACAAAATCATAATTTCCTTGGTAACAGAGATCATGGGTTTCGTCCATACTACTACTACTCCATAGTGGCTATCCCATGACTTATTTATAATGTTAATAGATACTAAATCTGTATTGTATCTTTACATTGGCTGAATTTTCACTAGAGAAATATGGCTTTCAAATATGACCTATAAAAGATACAGACAGATATGCTAGTAAAAGCTTACCTCATTCTGTAGATTATACAATTTAAAATCAAATTGAGATTGCAAGTATCCTACTCAAAGATTGTAGAATTAACTTGTAATTGTCTTATGTCACATATAGCATTTATAAGTTTGTTACTATAATTGTACATAAACTGCACTATAACATTAAATAAACCTATTATAAGTTAAGGAGAGGAACATAGACCTAGAGCAAGATGAAACTGTCTCTTACTAGTTCTCTGACTTTTACCAAATTACTTAACTCTGGTTTTTGTTTCCTCAGCTGTAGATTGAACGTAATGTTTCTACTCTTAGGATTCTTTAGTGACTAAATGATGGTGATTTAAGTCATTTAATAGTATTTCCACATTGGTTAGCTGCTACATTCATTCTTAAAAAGTGGAAGTTTCCTCCAATTTTACTGCCTCTGTTCTCCAAATAAGACTGTTTGCATTTTTCCATCTCTCTTTTCAGTGTTTGGATTTATTAACATATATAATAAAATTTATATAAGACACATGCTTAAAAAATTCCTCTTTATTTGGATGCAGATTTTTTATTACAAGGAAGAAACAAACTTATGAATTTTTCATTGTGTTATCAATTTGAGGTAATTGAATCTAAGTTGCATTTTTATTTACAATATATATAATACAATCTTGTTGAAGAATTTAAAATTACGACTACCTAAATGTTGTTGTTTCAAAGATTTGAGGGCATTTTGAACCTCAGTAAGAACTGAGTTGATATTATGTTCCAAAAGATTACTGAGATATTTACAGATGTAATCAAATAAGAGAACTATCATGGTCATTGTACATGTAGAATGGTCATTGTAATTTTTTCTTCTGACACTTTAAATTAAAGCTACCTTAAAATGACACCGAGACAAATTTTTGTCTTTAGAAACATCTCAGGATCTACCTGGTGTTTCACTGTTCTTATAAATGTTTTATTTTCCTGTTAACCAGGTACTTCTGAGTCACACCCCTTGGTTACTGTAGTAATATATCTTAGATACAGCAGTGTATTGCTCCCTCTCTTAGCTACACACTTCAGTTGTGGCTTTAGGTTTCTCATTACTTTTCATTCCTTTTAGCCATCATATCTGAGCAACATGTGAGAGATGTTAGAGATTTTGGTTTGAGTTGAAGTAAAAATAAGACCACAACTATTCATCTTCAAACACATTTTAATTCACGTGTTTCTGTTGTAACCATGCAACCTCCTGTGGTCAATATGACCGACTGCTCTTTTTTCTTACGTTCTTTTAAGCAAAGTAAAGCAGCGGTTCGGCTGAAAGAAGACATGAAAAAGATAGTGGCAGTGCCATTAAATGAACAGAAGGATTTTACCTATCAGAAGTTATTTGGAGTCAGTCTCCAAGAACTTCAACGGCAGGGGCTCACCAAGAATGGCATTCCAGCAATAGTGTGGAATATAGTGGAATACTTGATGCAGCATGGTGAGTTAAGTCATGCTTTAGTCTTTTCATTTTCACAGTCCCTTGCATAAACAAATTATTTGTGTAAATTATTTCATAATGTATGATTAGACTGTCCTCTAAAGCACCTTCATTAGAATATTAAATTATTGTGTAATATACTTTTCATTTTAAAAAGGGCATTACTGCTTAACGTTATCTTGACAGTACTAATTTGATCAACCATAGAGCAATCACTTTAATTATAGAGATTTCTAGTTTGGAATGTTACCTAGTTTTAAATGCTAAAATACTCTGTTGTAATATTAATAGTCAGTTTTCTAGATTAATTAAATTCTGATAGTCAATAATTTTTAATGTAATCAAACATGTTTTTGGGTATCTCTTTCACCTGAGGTCAATCATGAACTTATTCAATGCCTAGACTATCCTCATACACTTAGAAGAGATACCAAAAAACTATGATGTAAAGCTGATTATGCAGGGTGGCAGTGGGCTGGTTTCTCTTATCTTTATAGAGATAAAATTAAGCATGTAAAACATTTGAAGAGTAATATAGTATGTTATACAATAAAAAGATAAATTATATCTTAGTTACTGAGAGCTGTGTAGCCCACAGCTTTTTGATGATTTTGTTTAAAATAAATCATAAGCCTGGATCATTTGAGAGAATGTTTCCATATTCCCTGCATCTTTTTTTTTTTTTTTTTTTTTTAAAGAGATAGGTTCTTGCTCTATTACCCAGGCCAGAATGCAGTGATGTGATCATAGCTCACTGTAATCTCATACTTTAGGGCTCAAGTGATCTTCCTTTCTTAGCCTCTTGTGTAGCTGGGACTACAGGTGTATTCCACCACACCTGGCTGATTTATTTTTATTTTTATTTTATTTTTATTTTTATTTTTTGTAGAGATAGGTTTTCCCAATGTTGCCCCAGCTGGTTCTGAACTCCTGGACTCAAACAATTTTCCCACCTCAGCCCCCCAAAGTGTTGGGATTATAGGCATGAGCCACCACACTCAGCCATGTAGGGATTTTTAAATGTAGAACTTGAGGCTTCAAACATATTCTGTACAGTAGTCCCCGATGTTATGCATGGTTTGGTTTTCCAGGGTTTCACTCTTACCTGTGACCAATCATGGTCCAAAAATGCTAACTGGAAAATTCCAGAAATAAATAATTCATCAGTTTTTTGGTTGTTTTTTTTTTTCTGTTTTTTGTTTTTGTGACGGAGGTTCGCTTTTGTAGCCCAGGCTGGAGTGCAGTGGCATGATCTCGGCTCACTGCAACCTCTGCCTCCCGGGTTCAAGCAATTCTCCTGCCTCATCCTCCTGAGTAGCTGCGATTACAGATGCACACCCAGCTTTTTTTTTTTTTCTGTGTGTGTGTATTATTAGTAGAGATGGTATTTCACCATGTTGGCCAGGCTGGTCTTGAACTCCTGACCTCAGGTGATCTGCCTGCCTCGGCCTCCCAAAGTGCTGGGATTCCAGGCATGACCCACTGCACCCGGCCAACAATTCATCAGTTTTAAATGGTACAGCCTTCTGAGTAGCATGATGAGCTCTCCAGCCATCCTGCCACTTGGGACCTTAATCATCTGCTTGTCCAGTGTATCCATGTGTGTATGCCACCTGCCTGTTAGTCATTTAGTAGTGGCCTCAGTTTGCAGATTGATCATTGTGGTAGCACAGTGCTTGTGTTCAGGTGACTCTTATTTTACTTAATAACGGCCCCAAAGTGCAAGAAAAATAATGCTGGCAATTCGATAGGCCGAAGAGAAGCCATGAAGTGGCTTTTAATTGAAAAGGTGAGTTCTCGACTTAATAAAGGAAGAAAAAAAA